GGGAATATCAATCCACAAAATGCCTTACCTGGGTTCTGCGCTTTAAGCATGGGTAGCTGTTCTGTGGAAAATCGCAGGTATGAGCTCAAAGGCTTCTTTGGATAACGACCCAAGGTGGAGGAAAACCATCTCGGCAAACACACAAAACTGAGGAGAAACATTGTCAGTGTCAGGTTCATTGCCAGGGTGTATGAACACACATTCCAACCAAGGTGTAGTGATGCTCTATACCTAACATCTTCGACCAGAAAGTTGGTGACATTTCAAATCCTGTCGTACGCAGGAGGGGGAACCAAGCCCTTAACTCCTACAGAGCAGAGGAAAGCAACTCTACTTCAGTTAGGGTGCCAGCTTCTTAAAGTGGCGGGAGACTCTTGGCGCGACTTCAAAGAGGATGCTGACCAGGTGCTCAACTGGAGCGGTGGAGGGGCGGGAGGGAGAGCGGTGGAGGGGTACTACCGGCGGACGGCCTGCTTTCAACACCGCCCGTCCCTGGGCAAGGTCGAGGTCTGAAGTTAAAGGTCAGAGTGGCCCCGATCGCTCGAAGAGGGCCAAAGACGGCACTGCAGCCCCCGGGCGTCGGAAGCCAGCAGTCGTACCTGAGTGGGAAGCGCAGCCGACTGCCACAGCCCGCGCAGAGATCCGCTCCGGTCTTGCCCAGCGCACTCAGCACGCCCCACACGCCCCGGAGAAGCGCCATGGCATCTGCGCCCAACGCAGGGACCAGATTCCAATCTCGTCGTCTCCCGGCACGCCAAAGCCGCAACAATGACACCTAGAGCCCGCGTGCGCACCGCCGGAGTTTGTTATCATGCCCGCCACTCGCGAGGCACTCTGGGAAGCCTGCTAACTTCCGGTCGGGAGACGTGGGCGGGACGAAAACGGAGAGAGCAAATCGGCTCGGGCGCTCCAGGAACGCCCCGGTGGGCGGGACTGCGCAGAGCGACGGGAGCGGAGCAGGTGATCTACGGGCCCGTGCGCCTCCGGGGACCCTGGCCACTAGGGGGCGGTGCAGAGCTGCCTGTGCCCCGGCCCCTCGCCGCGGGGGCTAGATGACTGACTGCGAGAGGGGAGGGCTCACCGGTCCCGCCCAGGGCTGGTACGTAACAGACGCTTTACGGAGCCGGTACGGAATAACCGAGCAGCCTGCGCGCACTGAGGTCTGGGTGACGGGGCTAAGCACCAGCGGAGGCGCGCAGAGCTCAGGTTCAAAGACATGTGCTGTGCTTAGCGTGGGCTGCAGGGATGTGTCCCAGGGACCTGACCCCAGAGCCTGATTCTAGCAGTCTGTTTGGGCCCCTGAATCCGCGTCTTTAACAAGTTCCCAATGGGTAACAAGTTCTAATGCAGGTGCAGGAGCCCTGGTGGTGTAATGGGCTCTGCACTGGACTGCTAACTTCACAGTCAGCAGTTTGAACCCACCACCCGCTCTGAGGGAAGAGAAATATCCTTGACACCTATTTCAAATCTGAATCCAACTCCGTTTTAGTCAAGGGGAAGAAACTTTGCTAGTTAGTTGTCCGAAGACTCTCGTTCTAGTCCCAGCACTGACAGTAACATCTTGACCCAAAGGTGTAGCAACACCACCTCCCCTTAAAATTTGATTTCTTCCTCTCCAAGTGAGGGTGGTGGACTTCATCAGATATTTCCCAACCAAAGTTTCAAGTACGTGGGGTACATACACCTTGAGTGCTGATAAATGTTTATTTTCATTAGAAGACTTAAAATTTTCATATAAATGATTTAGTCATTTTCTTAGAGTTTTACATTCTATTTTTCTTCGGGTCATATAATATAAAGATCCCATTGCTGCTACAACAGAAATACAAGTGGCCGTCTTTAACAAACCCATTCCTAGGCTTATTTTCTTAGTTGAGAGTCAGAATCAGAATTCAGATTGCCCACTCTAGCAAAAGTCTGTCTCTCTAGATGCTCTGGGCAGAGGGTGGGAGGTGGAGGAGTCCTTGCCTTCTTGATAGTAGAACTAACTCTTTCTCTGCGGGCTTCTATCTTCTTCGGTCATTTATAACATAAAAGTTGCTGCAGGCCAGGAACTCTTGGGCCATGACTGTGACGTGATTCAGGATGTTATATCCCACCCTACTCCCCTTATAATTGATGGGTGGGGTCAAACCCACATCATGGGGGATGATTACATTATCACATTATTACATAACTGCCAAGCCCCTGAAAATCATGGCTCTGCCAAGATGACACAAGGGGACACAATTCAATCCATGACAGATCCCATATCCTGTTTCATCAAACCTCACGCTCATCACCACATTCCCTCCAGTTCACACTCCCCAAACCAAACTCATTGCCATCCGCTTGATTCTGACTCAGTAGCAACCCCATTTGGGGCTTCCTAGGCTTTGTAAATCTCCATGGGAGCCAACAATCTTACCTTTCTTCCTCAGAGTGACTGGTAGGCTTCAAACGTCCATCCCGCAGTTGGTAACTTAAGGCTTACCCCGGAAAGTACCACCCAGTTCAACCAAATACCATTTTGGGCGTAGGCCATCCCATAGAAAAGATTGGGAAGACCGAAAGTAAAGATATTGACAGCCCTTTGCAATTTTTAAATTGCAGTTATTTCAAAGGTAACCCACCTCCTTAGACACCCTTTCCTCTCTGGCAGAGCTGTCATTGTTAGAAAATTCCCACCAGTGTAAAATAGAGCTAAGAGTCTGCTGCCTTTCTGCAGCCTGCCAGCATTGGCCTTGTGGAGCCACAAAGCCACCAAGGACTAAGCCCACTTCTTCTTTTATGCTATGTAACTACCACTACTTCCTTTTTCATAGACAGAGTTGAAAGGGAACTTGCGGGTCATCTGTTCAGCCCTCTCATCCTGTTTTTGTTTTTTCAGTTTATTCTATGTAGGCCTCCTTGGGAGGGAGTGGTTAAAGTGCTGGGCTCCTAACCAAAAGGCCAGTGGTTAAGCTCGCCATCCATTCCATAGGGGACAGAGGTGCCAGTCTACCTCCCTACGGCTTGATAGCTTGGGAAATCCTATGGGACCACTCTGCCCTATCCTATAGGGTCACTGTGAGTTGGAAGCAACCCAAAGGCAGTGTGTTTTGTAGATACTATGTGCAAGGCCCCTAATAGAGAGAAACACCTTTCTCTCTCTAAAATATGGTGGCAGAAGCAAAGAAATGATTATAGGTTATATAGCTAAATGTGGGATAAACTTTTTTAAAGAATACAGCAGATTTCTAAAATAATTTGTTTCCTCTTCTTCTACAATAATTCTGTTATTTTGGATGTTTGATATTATTAACTTCTTTGGGGAATTTCAGGAGCCCAGGGTATGAAGTGGATAGCAGGTTGGGCAGCTAACCAGCAAGCAAGCAGTTTGAGCCCACAGTCTATTCCAAGGCAAAAGGATGAGCTTTACTGCTCTCATAAAGATTTGCCCTCTCAGAAACCCTATGTAGCAGTTCTACTCTATCCTACAGGGCCACTGTGAGTCATCATTGAATCCACAAAAGTTGTTTTATTTTGGAGGCTTGGACATTTTTAAACAGCTTTTTATAATTGATCAGAAATATTTTTTTCTCATTCATTTTTAATTAGATACCCATCTTCTTTAAAACTCAGATATTAGTGATAATTAATGCTAAATACTGTATTTATAAGGAAAACATAATACCTATTTACTCAAACTGTCTTTGGGTCCAAAACACATATGGTTTCAACGTGAGTGGTTCAAACTCATCATCCTTCAAACTTACTTTATAAAACAGAAAGGGTCTCCACTTTTACTTATGCTTTAAATGTCATCCACTCCCATGATCTCAACTATCCGTTAAAGCTTTATGATTCCCATATTCTATATTGCATCTAGACCTGTCCTATTTATTTCCACATTCACCTAAGCGACTGACTGTTGGATGCCCGTAACATTATGTCCCACACAAACTTCAATTTCAACATGCCCTGGATACAATTCACTATGTTTCTCTTGAGTCCTTTATCTTGGTAAGAAACACTAGTATCCCACTGAATGGTCCAAGCCAACTATTGATGTATATCTTAGAACCTTGCCATTGACACTCCTCCCCTATCCACCTACTCATTAACTTCTCTGGTATGCATTACCTTTCTCATCCCCATTTTTATTGCTTTAGTTCAGACCTGTGATGTGCTAGAAAGCTGGCAAGTAGACCAAGCTGCTTCCATATGTCACTGGTCCAGGATCTGCCATCTTTTGCTGAACTCAGTTTTCCTACGAAGTTTTTGAAAGGGCAAGTCCCATTTATTCATCTCCTCATTGAATATGCATTTAACAGATGATGCCAAGAAGATATAAATATGTTCTTGACACTTACAATGGATCTTTATTACCCACAGAATCAAGTTCAAATTTTTCACTCTATAAGTCCTTGAACTGGTCCATCTGCTTCCTCGGTAGTTTCATTCCTCATTTCACCCTTTCTTGAAATAATTTATGGTTTTAATACCTACTTATTCTTTAACTTCAAGACACATCAAACCACTTCGTTTGACTTGGAGTCTACCAATGATTTGTATGTGGTATGTTCAAGTTCTAGAAATTACTGGCAAGTACACAGATTAAGAAGACAGATCTGAAAACAGTTTGTTACTTATTCACTATGTGGCCTACCAATAAGTCTCTCTCGGACCCAGAGTTTTGACCTTTTAAAATGCGGGCAGGAAGGATTGGTTCTCTGGATGGTTGGGAAGATTTAAGTTAGATAATGTCTGTAAAGTTCTTAGCAGAGTCCCTGGCACATAATAAAGACTCAATAATTAGTGACTATTATTATCCTTAGCACTATTTATAGGAGTGATTATTAGCTTCTAAATAATTATCAGTAGAGTATGAGTTATTTCCAAGCAAAAAAGTCAGATTTGCATCAGAGCCTTGCCATTACTTCTTTGTCATTTCCTCTTCCTGTAAGCCAGCTCACATATATACACCAGTGTATATATTGCGACTGAACTCCTAATAGTCCCTCAATTAGAAGCCTTTGAGAATAAATAGGGCTATGTCAGTGGTTTTCAACCTTCCTAATGCCGCGACCCTTTAATACAGTTCCTCATGTTGTGGTGCCCCCAACCATAAAGTTATTTTCATTGCTACTTCATAACTTTTTGCTACTGTTATGAATCGGGTGACCCCAAAGGGGTAATGACCCACAGGTTGAGAACCGCTGGGCTATGTGATAACAATTAAAACTACCCACCCCTGGGTGTGAATCATTCTTTAATATTTTAAAACAACTTTTTAAAAGTTGTGACTCAAAAATCAAGGTAGATCACCCACTGCCAGTGAATGGATTTCCACTCAGCACTCCTATAATAACCCTATAGGACAAGGTAGAAATGTCCTTCAGGGTTTCTGCGTATAAATCTTTACAGGAGCAGATGCCTTTCTTTTTCTCCTGTGAATCAGCTGATTTTGAACCACCAACCTCATGGTTAGCAGCCCAGTATTTAACCCACCATGCCACCAGACCTTCTTGAAGAAGCAGGCAGAGAAAGTATTATTGGTTCATGGTTCCTAATTACAGATGAGAAAATGAAGTCCCAAAAGTCTAATTCATAAAGTTGTAGTAGTAAATTGTAGAAATTAAAATCTGGGCCTCCAACTCATTGCCCTGAGTTTTTCCTACTATCCTGGACCATGTCTCAGACTCAGTTAATCTAATAACGGCTTCATGCTAGCCCAAAATATCTTCCTGGGGTGTTTTATAGTAGGTGAGCCTTGTTGTTACATGCTGTAGAGTAGTTCAGACTCTTAGAGACCTTATATCCAACAGAACAAATCCCTGGTGGCTCCCAGG